TAATAATATTAATAACAATATAAATAGTAACATTAATATTAGTAGTTATAATAATAATAGTAATAATTACAATAATAATAATTATAATCAAAATAATAGTAATAGTAATATGAATAATAATAATAATAACAATAATAATAATAATAATAATACTATTGTTTACATCTAATTTAATTAGACCTGATCTGATCGGGTCTGATCAGATTAGATCTGATCTAGTCTGATCTGATTAGATTTGATCTGATTATATCTAATTAGATCTGATCTGGTCTGATCTGATCTGCCTTATTTGATTACTCCAAAAGATGGATATATATGACTCTAGTAGTAGAGGTAAATCTGAGTTTTATAATAAAAAAATCTCACGTTATTCATTTCATTGTCGTTATTACAAAACAATTGGTTTTTCTTATGAATATTGTTCTTTAAAAAAGGTTGAATCATATCTTACATTTGTCTATAAATTTTGAACATCTTATAAATACAAAATTTAGTGCTACAGACCCACAACAAGTGTCTTCATGGGCACCTCCAAATCCTTTTCTGAGACACGCAGAGAGGATAATCGTACGTGCAACGCAGACAATTCTCATCTTTGTATGTCTTTGCAAAGCACGGGGGCATTCATGGTAGCATCCGTATGGTGTTACCCTAACTTTTTTCTTTGTTTAAGGGCTTAGTTAATCTGTCAATAATTTATTGAGGTATGCTAAGAGTACACCAAGTTTGTATCTCAAGTTGCACATCAGTTGTATTATAGACACACACAAACAACAATTGTTTGTGCACCATACAGACAATCTTTGTTTTTGTTGTAAATTGATATACAATTTGAAGCTCTTTAAAAAAAATACTCCCTTCGTCCCTAATTTGATTACAAATTGGGGTTTACGAAGAAAAATTTCTCATTTTTTGTATGGCTTTATTTACAAATCGGTATATCAATAAGAAACAAAAATTACATATTAAAAAACTATGCAAAAATTTCTATAAAACAAGAGGTGATAAGAATTATTTATCTTATTGAAATCGCGTAAATAAACAAAAGTTATCGAGAAAAGAAAAAATTATAATAAAAATGGAGACACAAGAAGTATACAATTTGAGGTACAAGTTTGGTTGGGTAGGTTAGGGATTAAAAATAGGCAGCGTACAACCTTATAAATTTACCACTTACTCTTCGGCATTTACTATTTCGGTGGGTGGGACTTGGGAGTATAATTATAAGCATAAGATATGGCTATTTGTACCCCATTTGTACACCGCATGTTTGCATTGATATTTTGTGTTGCTGTAAAACTATTTTTTGTTAACGCACCAATACTTTATGTTCGTGTAAATTTTTGTTAACGTACCAACACTTGTGTCGGTGTAAACCATCAAAATGTTTGTGTATGACTGTAGCGTACAAATGAGGTACAATTTTTGGTGTAGCATGACCCTAGTTATAATTCCCTATGTTTTTAATACGGAGTAACTTTTACTCCATTTTGAAAAGTTTTTTCATTCCTTCCATACAATTTTTTTTTATTTCTACTAAAAATCACTTTTATTCACTAATTCTTAACCCACTTATCACATCAAATCCATTCACTGTTAATCTACTCATCAAATCCTACTTTTAGTCATCACATCCAATGACATTTTTAGAAATTCAATGCTAAAATACACTTTCTTTAAATTTCTTAAAAATCAAAATCTTTCATATTTTCAAGAGGGACAGAGGGAGTATTTGAATATACTTTCTTCGTCCCAGATTTGGTTATAAATTGGGATTTATTAGGCAAAATTTCTCATCTTTTGAAATAATTTTATTTATATTAGTACAAAATAAAAATTACATATAAAAAAATTATACCAAAAGTTATGCAAAATAAGTGATGGCAAGAATATTTTATTTTATCAAAAACAAAAGTTATCGAGAGGAGAGAAAAAAATTATAATCAAAATTAGGGCGGAGGGAATAAATTTTTGTTAATTATTTAATAAAATAAAAGAGTCATATACCCTTACATCCGCCCCACATTGTTTGTCTTTGTTGTTATTATAGCCTTTTGATAATTTATGTTTGTTAATATATTTCTTTTGATTATTTGAGAAAATAAAATATTTTTCTCACGTCTTCTATTGAACGTAGAATTTTTTATATGCTTTTGAACGGTGTAATTTATATTTCTTTACTAATTGTTAATTAAAAAGAAACCACTTAATCTGTACGATGTTCAAAGAGCGGTAAATATTATGGAATGAAAAGAGTATAAGTATGCTGTAATATTTAAGTATTTGGTGTCTTAAACTCATGTTTAATAATTTAGTTCTTTTTTTATTTTCATACAAATATATAAATTAAATCATTTTTGAATGAGAATATTTTTTTCATCTCAATAAAAAAACCTAAAGTGTTGGGTTCAATTAAAGACAAGAAAAGAAAAGAAGAAAGAGAAAGAGAGAGAAAAGGAGTGAGTAGAGTGAGGGTGCACAATAAAGGGTGAGGTGAGGGAGCAGACGATGTGACGCGACAGAGGGGAAAGATCAGATGATGATGAAGCCTACGGTACCAGGTTTTGCTGTCGGGTTCTGATTGGGTGCGGTAGAGCGCAGCCTATGATCCGCTGGGCAACACACAGCAGCACTCGCAAAAGCCCTCCATCTCCTCATTCTGTCTTGTCGCCCACTGCACCACCACTGTCCCCCCCCCACCCCACCTTTACCGCTCCAAACTCCTAAATAAGAATATACTCCATCCGTCCCGAAATATTTGTCACACTTATATTTCAGAAGTAAAATATCAAACTTTTTCAATTCATTTTATTTACATATTGGTATAAAAATGAAAAATAAAATTTATATATAAAAAAACTACTCCCTCCGTTTCTTAAAACGGTTCTTGTTTTGACTTTGGGGCAAAATAAGAAAAATGTAATTTTAATTGACCTTCCAATTTTGCCCCTGATGTGATGGATAAAAGTAAGATGTGGTAGTTTAGTTATTAGTGAAAAAGTATGATGTGATAGGTAGATTATGAAAAAGTAGAGGTAAAAGTAATTTTTTAATAAAAAAAGGAAGTGTTTTAAGGAAAATAAAAAAATGAAAGAGGAAGAGTTTTAAGAAACGAATGGAGTATATGAAAAGTTTTTCAAAATAGGAGATGTCAAAATATTTTATTTTATCAAATAACCAATGAAAACGTAGAAATAAATAAAAATTCCCGCGACTAATGTGTCAAGGAACCAACTCAACCAAAAGCTCAAACTCGTGGTTGTGGCTCATGAATGATTGTTATATACTCTAACATGCTGAAAAACAAATATTGTAAATATTTAGGGACGAATGTGGTATCTCGGTTTGCGTTACGCAGTTGGCAAATGCATAGATCAGAGTTTTATGGAGTAGATTCGAGTTTGATTTCCGGTAATTATGCTAGAAAAGAATTATACTTTGCAATTACCAAATGCATATTCTACTCTCTGCAATCAGTGGCCGTCATCGGGCCTGATGATGAGGATGGGGGCCATCCTTTTATTTTCTTTCTAAAATAAGAACTAAATGGGTAACCATTTTTTTAGGATTTATATATCTCGGTTTAAGTTATTTGTTTATGTATTTTCATTGATTATTATATCAAATGAAATATCTTTATCACCTCTTTTTTTTGTAGATTTTTTGACGTAATTTTTTTAATTTGTAGATTTTGTTAATTATTATTCATATACGAATTTTTAAATAGATTAACATTTCAATTATAGGGTACGGTGTTAGGCAGTGCACTGCTTTTAAGAATATAACTTCTGCTTTGAGTAGTTGTAGTTTTTCTCTGTTTGGCATACCAGCTTCTACTTTTTTCCACCGCTATTTTGTACATAAACACCGTTTCGAAGAAGCGGTTATGAAGTTCTTTCGCTTTCAACTTTTATAAAAAATCACTTTATCCACAAGTTAATCACTCCCAAACATCTTCTTACTCTTACTACTCCGTATATCACTTAACATCACAATAATTATTATTTAGTTAACTGTTTCATTAATTATTTGATAAATAATATTTATTTTAAGTATGAAAAGAAACAAAATATGGAGTATAATTTGAGCATGTCAATGTAGTTATACTCGAATTTAGATTTCAAATTCGAGACTACTTATATCCAGAAGTTAACTCAACTGAAAGTTTATGTTTATGATGATAGCTATTTTAAGTAGCCAATTTGAGCCTTTCACGTGAAATTGTAATTTTTTATAGAGAAGTTCGTGTTGTATTTTGAACTCGTGACTTCTTGGTTAACGATTAAGGTTTTGATATCATATTGTTAAAAGAATCAACTCAACCAAAAGCATAAACTTGTGATTGTGGTCTAAGAAATATTTTTTTAATCTAACAACTTGTTCTTTTAACTTTAAATTAAGTTGCATATTTACTATTCACGTAGTCAATTTTTTTTCCTTTTTCTATTTTTATTATTAATTTGATAAAATCGTAGTCGTATCATCACTTCTTCATAGGGCTTTTTTATACTCCAATTCTCAAACTAAGAAATTTAAATTTTATTTTAGAATTCCACTCTAATTCTTAAATTATTTGTGTTAAAAATAAACATCGTAAAATGAAACAGACTATTTAAGTTAGAGTGGAAAGAGTAATAGTTGTTGCCCTAATACAAATTGAACCGGTAGTACGTTGGTGGCATTTGTCGGTCGCTGCCGCCCCATTGACAAAAGACCGAGTAAAGGATTATGATAATTATTGGGTATTTTATTAATGTAATACGAAGTAATATATACACAAATCACCACTTAATTCATCATGTAATATAATAATTTTCATCAAAATTAAGTACAGAGCTACCACAAGCAAAATATGCATGCATGCAGCATTTCTAATTAAGACTGCACTAATCATAAAATTTTCCTCAATACATATATATTCTATAAATAATAAATATTTTTTTTTGTTGTTGGATAATGAAACTATATAAATATACTTAATTATAGAATAATTATAATAATAAGACGGTCCACGTAGGATTAATTATAGCATCCATCCAGGAATAACCCCAGCTCCATTTAATGTTGAGTTTCCGACGGCGTCGTTTTCCGTTTGTTGCTCCAATACCTCTTGGTCGTACCTATTCAAAAAACGCTTCAACCTTATATATATTTTCTCTGTCTTAAACTAAATTTTGACTCTACCTATTCTAAAAAATTGTTAAAAATTCGTGAGATAGAGATTGCGAGTCACAATTTGTTACGTATACTCTAGTTGGAAACAATATTTTTTACATGATCGTTAGGGTTTTTATGAATAAAATTTTAAAAGAGAAAACAAATAAATACAATTAGTAAAAGAGAGACAAATTACCCAATTTGTGGTGTGTTGCAGAGTTGTAGAGGGTGAAAGAATATCTGGGGCTGATGAGAATGATGGTTCCTGTGCTGTGGTGTGTTTGGCTCATTATCTGCTTCCCAAGATGTTGTAAATGTACCATTTTCGCCTTCTCCCAACTAATACATATAAATTATTCACCAACAAATTTAAACAAGGTGATAAAATTTAAAATTCGATGAAATCGAGTCATAAGATACTTCAGTTAAACAACACCAAAATATTCCTTCCGTCCATAATTTGATTACAAATTGGGAGTTACGAGGCACAATTTCTCATCTTTTGAAATCATTTTAGTTACAAATTAGTACTCCCTCCGTCTCAAAAAGTCTGACACGTTTTGAAAAAACTGCGTCCCATAAAGTCCGTTACATTTCTATTAAAAAACCACTTTTACCCTTACTTGTTCATACCCTACCTATCATATCATACTTTTTTTCTAATAATCTACCCATCACATCCCACTTTTATTCATCACATCAAGGGTATTTTTGGAAAGTCAACACCAAAATATCCCTCTTTTAATTTCCCAAAAAGTCAATATGTACCAATCTTTTTGGGACGGAAGGAGTATAACAATAAAAAATAAAAATTACTCTTACATTTTAAAAAATAACGTTAAAAATTCTATAGAAATAGATGTGACAAAAATATTTTATATTATCATCAACTATTCAATGAAAACACATAAATAAACAAAAGTTATCAACAGGAGAAAAAAAAGATTGTAATGTACTCCCTCCGTTATCAAAAACACTTACTCTTTCATTTTTTTCCCTTCCAACAAAATACTTCCACTTTCTATTAAAAAACCACTTTTACCCTTACTTTTTCATACCCTATCTATCACATCATATTTTATCTCTAATAATCTATCCATCACATCTTACTTTTACCTATCACATCAAGGGCAAAATTGGAAGTCAACTACAATTTAATACTTCCCTATTTTTACACAAAGTCAAATGAGGAACACTTTTTCCAAACGGAAGGAGTATTTCAGAACGGTGGGAATATTAGATTTATTTAACGGAACACTTTATTTGAATCATTATTCTTTTATATAACTTTTCAATGTGGGAATACTTTAATAAAATAAAATTAGGTTTCTGTAAGGATTTATATTTACCTTTAGCTTTAAGGCTTTATTGACTTCGAGAAGACTTTTCTCCTGCCAATTCAAATTAAGCACCCCAAGAACCATTTTAATTAGTAGTAGATTGAAATAATTAACGTGTATAAATTGGCTACGTTCAAAATTAAGCACCCCAATAACCATTTTAATTATTGGTACACGAAATTCAAACTATCCAACTGATATTAGGGACAACAAATCTAATTCTATTGTTTGGTAGCAAAAAAATATGTGGATTTGGAAATTGTAGTGCCAAAAATAAATTGCAATTAGAGAATTCAATTCCATCCAAATCAATTTTATACTCTCTCCGTCCCAAAAAGATCGTTACGTTTCATTTCTTTGCGCATCCCTTAAAATATTTTTATATCGTCTCAAATGCCAAAAAACTTTCAAAACAATTTCATCTTATAATAAAGAGTAAATATGGTAAATTTTAGAAATTTTAGATGTGAGTAGCATTGCTTTTTGTGATGCGCAAAGAAATGAAACGTAACGATCTTTTTGGGACGGAGGGAGTAGAATTTACACTCCAAATTCGTTCAATTTCAATTCGGTCAATTCCGTGTACCAAACGAACCCTAAATATACTCGTTGGATTAATTACCTAAATTTAACACATTCGTCTTGTTCAAAATACCTCATTTAATTTAATACTCCATAATTGAAAAAATTGGCTTTGTTTTTTAGACTCATATTCATAATAGACTCTTCTTTTTTATGAACACATTAAAAATTGGTCTAGAAACATTCATCTTCTTAGACTTACCCTTTGCTGAAGGTTAGATAGTTCATCATACATGTGTTTTGTCTGCAAAACAAGAGACAAATAAAAATTAAAGGGAAATTTAGAATGCTAACTCATGTTTTGATAAGGGCTAGGCTCAAAGCGAATAAAGCATACTAATGAAAAATTAACATATATCTCTACGCACAATCCCAACATTAACATATATCTGTCACATCATACACATCCGTAATTAAACTACCCGACATCCTATTCTATCATACTAGAAACCAAGGGTAAAATGTGAAAATAATACCCAAATTACGCTTTACGTGAAATAGCAACTTTATTAAATGTGGATTTTTTTTGAGACGGAAGGAGAGTGTTAATTATTTAATTAATTTGATATACATGTGCTCCCACATTTTCTGAAAAATGAGAGATTTTTATTCTTAAGGAATTTAAAGGGAGTACATTTTGATATTTAGTTTCCAAAAATATCTTTGGATGTCATGATTAAAAGTAAGATTTGATTGATAAATTAAGAGTGAATAGATGGGATGTGATGTGTATGTTAAGAATTAGTAAGAGTGATTTTTTTAATAAAAAAAGAAATACTTTTCGGGACGGATGAAAAAAGAAAGGAGAAAAGTTTTGAGAAATGAGTATATACTTACCCTTGTTGACCTAATTCTCCTTAATGAGGAATCCAACTGATTTTCTAGTTGCTCCAAATCTTCAATGCCTAGGTGCACCAAGTCTTCTCCAAGCAAGTGCCTAAAAGCAGCAAACTAATTAATACAACTTCACTACATATAATACAAATAAAGTTAGTTAAGTTAGTTTTAAAGTCGCGCTTCTGTGTTATTAAAAGTTTAACTAAATGAGTGTACAAAGATTTGTATCTGTCGATCAGGGAACGAAATCCAGATACACTGTAGTACTATATGTTTGTATGTATATGTACACTATGATGCAAAGTAGTTCCATAGAGATAATATATATACAGTATGGGGCTCATCCTCTAGGAATATCCATGGAGTATATTCTATTTTTCTCTATAAAAATGAAACTTATTATTCTACACTCATTTGAATAGGGAGGACTAGAAAAGAGAGTGAATAGTATGTAGGTGGAACATGTGCACAGAGGAAGTCTGAGTGTGGCTAACCTTTGAGATTCTTGTAGCCCTTCAACTCCAGCTTTTAGCTTCAGATACTCTTGATAATTCTGTGCAATTATTAATTACTTTACTAATAGTAATGATGATAATAACAATAATAATAATACAATTATTATATTAGGGAATTTATTTAAGTAGCACTAAAACATAATGACTTTCTCGAAATAGCATCATATCTGTTTTTATTCCCAATGTAGCACTTTTAGTCATTATCCATTTGTCATTATTCAAGTAAATGTTCGTCATCGCTGAACATTATTCCTCGTTCTGGACATTATTAAGTGCTATTTATGGAATAAAATAATTTAAGTGCTATTTACAGAAATGATTTAAGTTTCAGTACTCCTTGAAAGTTAGTTTCTACTAATTCTTGGAAAATATATATATAAAAAAAAGCCACACCACAAATAAGAGAAAATCCACTATAGCTATACATAGCTGGAGATCTACTGGTACTTAAGCTGTTAGAGCATCCAAAACCATATATTTTCATCATTTTTTGACACAAAAATAGTGCAACCACATCACATCACACACAATAGTTTCAATCCAACTATTTACAGAACATTATCCTTAAAAAATGAATATTTAGGTGTTCATACATTTCCTTTGATGAACAAACAAATTTTTGGAGCATTTCATATGATTTTGATTTATTTCTGAAGAAAAAAATCATGGGGTGTTGCTAAATGCACTACACCCCACTTTTGCTAAATTTACATCATTTATAATAAATGAGTAGTTTTGCCCTTAAATATGAAAGAATTGCTTAAGATGCAATAATCCATCTTTTAAGGGTAAAATGATCCATTTAGCATAAAAGAAGCAGATTTAGCCAAAAAGAGAGTAGATTTAGCAACAACGTGCCCAAATGTTGGCTCCGCTTGACATTATCTTTAACATGTTGAAAAATGTTATCTAAGGTCCCGTTTGGTACATGAAATTCAAACTATGGAATTGGAATTAGGGACTTTAATTCCAATTTTGGTGTTTGGTAGCACAAAAATTATGTGGATTTCGAATTGATAGTGCAAAAAATGAATTGAAATTGACAGAATTTAATTCTATGGAATTGAATTCCATGGAATTTCAATTCCAATTCAATTCCAATTCCACCGATTCCTTGTACCAAACGGACCCTAAGAGTAACTTTTGCCATTAATATTTTGAAATTATATTTCTATCCTTAAATATTGATCCAAAACGCTAATCATTTCCCAAATGAAATCGCTAATAACATATTGATATATAATGTTTGAAGGTTTAATAAATTAAAGTAATTAATAATCACCTGTGACTCCTTGGATGCAGCTTGGTTAGCATCAAGTGCACCATAGTTGCATCTATGGTACCTCTCAAGTGTCTTAGCCATGCTGCAATTTCCACCATAATAATATAAACATTAATATACATTATTATGATTCATAATTAATTGGCTTTCAAAAAAAAAATATTAATCCTAAGTTACACATGCATATAGAATATGATAATAATATGCATAAAACTAATTAAAGTATGTAGAGTAGTATGGTTGAGTCAGACCTCACCTAGCTTGCTTTTAGAATGTGGATTTTGACTGGCCTGGCCAATCAAATTAATTACTAGTTTAACTGTGTAATTAATTAAGCTAAGAGAATTCTACACCTTTAATGATTAGGATCACATATATACAAGGTAATTAATTAATACCATTCATTATAAAGTTAAACTAAAAGCATAGTATACTTGAAAAAGATCTATGCGTCAAATTTCAGCATGAAATCTGAACTTGTCATTATATGATCCGATCCCCAAAAAAAAACAAATCTTTAATGAAAAAAGAAATCAAGATTTGATTAAATAATCAAGAATAAACAAAAAAAAAAGAAAATAGAGAAATGAATTAATTACCATACCTTGAGCTACTGCAGAATTCATAGAGCTTTCCCCTGTTGGAGAAGATGATCAAAGCAACCTCAGCATCACAGAGAATAGAAAGCTCATAAGCCTTCTTCAACAACCCATTCCTTCTCTTTGCAAACGTCACCTGCCTGTTTATCTTGTTCTCTATCCTCTTCAGTTCCACTTTCCCTCTTCCCATTTTGCCCTTTATCCTCTTTACTAATCTTATGTATCTATATATACATATATAGATGCAGAGAGAGACCAAAAAAGAGATCACTTTACTATATGTATGTGTGTGTGTGTGTGTGTATGGGAAGAAACACAGGATCAAAGTTTACTTATAATTCACTTCAAGAAATAAAATATAATAGAGATTGATGAACAATGATATATATTACTGAAATAATACACATCTACCCTTCATCAAATTCTTACCAAGATTGGATCTTTTTGCCATAAAAGAAAGCCTATGTTGTATATGTATATATGGACAGTAAATTCTCTCTCTCTCTCTCTCTCTCTAGATCATCTCTTTTTTTATTTCTTTCTATCTGCAAGGACAAGAAGAGTTGTTACTTTTTCTTAGGCATTAAGGTTTAATTTAATTTACAAGCGTGGGCAGATATTACTTTTTTTTTGTAAAAAAGATGAGTCTCATCCCTGAGCGCCCCTCACATACGTCCAGACAGTCAGAAGTAAATTATTTCCTCCGTCCCCCTAAGATCTTCTCGTTTTGACTTTTTACGATTTTTATGAATAGTTGAAAAAAGGTGAAAGTTTACCAAAATATCCTTAATGAAAATGGGTAGGGTGTATTAAATAAGGTGAAATACGTGTAATAAATAAGTAAGTGGGGGTAGTTGTGGTATTTTAAATGTTATATCAGGTAATGAGAAGATCTATATGAGACAAATAAAAAAGGCTAATAGGAAGATCTATGAAGAACGAAGGAGTAGATTTTAATCGCATATTGGTGGCAAAGAGTGGAGTCTGCACATTGTATTTGCAGAGGTCATATGTTTAGCATATTTGCTTCGCAGCGCAGCTGCCAGAAACCGAACTCGAATCTTATCTCCTTGGCACTCCTTGTTTTGCTAACTGCGCAACGGCCACTCGTATTTTTTTTTGAAGGGTGGGGATATTATTGTAAATATGGGGAGAATGTGAAGAATGGGAATATTGCAAGATTGCTTTTTGTGTGTATATTAAATGGTACGGATTAGTTTTTTTTCCTTGGCTTAAAACAGAGCCAGGTGCGAGAAAATATCTTTGCCCATTTTCTTTAAGATAAAAAAGAATATACTCCTTCCCGATAACCTTTTCCAATTTTCAATTTTTATAAAAAAAGTACTCTTGTTTAAATATGAATGGCCCCTCCATTTAATTTTACAATATTTATCATGTTCACTTAAAAATTAATATAAATTTAATACAATATTTTTCTTTTAATAAAAATAGATAATTAATAATAAATCAATGAAAAACAATTTTAAAATTAAATAAAACAAGAATTATACAATAAGTAATAATACTCCCTCCGTCCTAAAACCACCTTTCCGGTTTGACCGGAGGTGGTTTTTAAGAGAGTTTAAAAATTGAGTTGACCTTCCTAAAATGCCCCTGAAAACCTTCTTTCTCCCTCTTGACACTGGACCAAAACATGACCAAAAACACTGGCCTTCTTGAATCTAACATTAGGTTCTAAAACAAAATCAAAGGTCAAAATTGCTGCTAAACAAATGTAAATAAAATAAATGAAATTGGTCCAAGCAACGAGATGAAGGCAAATTTGGGGATCTGCTCCCTCTTCACCGAATCTGAAACGGAGTGGCGACGGCGACGGTGGCTGCAGTCTCTCTGTGCGCGGCGAGGTCTGATCGGCGATGGTGGCAGTCTCTCTAGCTGCAGTCTCTCTGTGCGCAATGAGATGAAGGCAGATTTTGGAGATCTGCTCCCTCTTCATCGTTTTCTTTGGGAGATCTGATCGGCGATGGTGGAGCGAAGATGCGATCTATGTCTTGAGGAAAAGAAACGATTAGATCTGGATATTAAAATAGAGAGAGAAGAAGAAGATTAGATATAGATTTTGAGGGGGAGGGGGAGAGAGACGGAGGAGAGAAGCAGCAAGTTGAGAGTGAAGAGAGATGCGAGAGACGGTTGAGAGAGTTGAGGGAGGGATCCAGTAGGTTGAGAGAGTTGAGGGAGGGATAAAATAGTCAATTCATACACTTTTTTAGGAAGTGGGAAGGTAGTTTTAAGACAGAGAAAAAAGAGAAGTGGGAAGATGATTTTAGGACGGAGGGAGTAATACTCCCTCTGTCCCTTAAAATATTTCTTGTTTTGATTTTTAAAGGATTTAAGAGCGTATTTTGGTGTTGATTTCTAAAAATGTTTTAGATGTTATAGATAAAAGTATATGTGATTAGTAGATTAGTAGTGAAAGAGTATAATATGATAGGTAGGTTAAGAATTAGTAGAGATAAATGTAACTTTTAAATGTAAACAAGAAATTTTTTTTGGGACGGATGAAAAAAGAAAGAAGAAACATTTTGTGGGACGGAACAAGTAGTAATAAAGAAAAATGCAAAAATAATACTCCCTCCGTCCACTAAAGATTCTCTCATTGCGCGTTACGAAATTTGACCGACTTTATTTTTAGTTCAATTTATGTGATTGTAAGAATAAAATTTAAATATAAAATTTATATAGTACGTAAAAAAGTACATGAAAAAGCTCTACAAAACTAGAGGTGATAATATTATTTTAATTTATGAAATGAGTAGTTAAAATAAGCAAACAAAGTAAGCTAAGTTTAACCATGTGAATAGTGTCTGGAAAGATTTATGGTAAACAGAAGGAGTATAAAACAATAACACTAAGCAAAAAATAAAAATAAAAAACAAACAAAAAATAAAAAGAATAGCTTCCTCGCCCGCCTTCACCCTAGTAGCATGGCAACTTCCTCGCCCGCCTTCACCCCCGATGTCCGGCCCGCGCCGTGACGCCGGACTCAATCTCCAACCTGCAATGGGTGTTTGCCGCTCGCCCCGCGCCTCGAAGTGGCGCGGCGGGTCCCCCCCCCCCCCCCCCCT